AGAAATAAGAGGATTTCAAAACAATTGAGTTTTTGATTCAAGCTATCATGGCTCCCAAATGGAACAGGTCATCAGTGAAACGAGGTGAGGCGTTCTCTGGCAGTCTGCCTGGAAGGAGAGCCTTTCTAGTTAGACAACCTTGTTGCAACATTCGCATAAGCACGTTTTTCTGTGGCTTGACTTTGGGAAGTGAGGCTGCAGAGAAGAAAGGCAAAGATCGCAGATGTTAAACCCTCCAGTGCCCTGTCTGCCACAAGATAATTCCTTCGAGCGGGGAGTCAGCGCGTTCGTCTAAAAATAGCGTTATTCAGAGCAAGCCTGATGCTAGGATAGCTGAGGTTCAGGCCTCTGCCTGGTCTCTTGCGCCAGCATGAATTGTTGACTTCAGTGACTTTACACCTGTATAACAGTGGTAAAGATTGCAAAGGCACCGTCCCTTACTGCTGGAGAACAGAGAGAGTGACCTTCAGAGCATTGCTGCACACTGCTGCTGCTAAGAGCGATGGCTTTATTGCCTGCTCTCCAAAGAGAGAACTAGAGAAAATACTTTAACCCAGAACAAGAGTCTGTTGCAAGATAATTATACTTGAAAGTGAATGTTGGGAGAAGTCATTGATTGGATTAGTAGAGGAGTGATTGTCTCCCGGGCTCTCTGCGAAGAAACCCTCCGAAGTCTTTGTTTAAAAGAGGCCGGCTGGTTATTGATCATACTGAATGTTATACTATGAAAACAAAACTGACTAAGGAAAAAGCCCATTTTTTTTCTGATGTTCTTTGTTGTACCCCTTCCCCATTTTTCTCTTCTTTTCTCCTCTTTCGTTTCCATGCGTGCGTGTGCGTGTGCAATGATTTTAAATGTTCTCTGTGTTTAATGATTTTGCCAATTTCACGCTCCTTTTGAAACCCACCCGTTGAGAACCTTGAAATGCCTCCGAGAACTGTGTCGCATCTTAGCCTGCCACTTAACGTCTGGGCTTGGGAGCCGTGTTGGAAGGTACTTCTGGAGACCAGCAAAATTTTTGGATTTGGGCACAGGAGAGGGACTGGAATCACCAGTATATTTTGTTTCTCCTGTAGCAGAGGCAAGAATTACAGCTCACGGCAGGAGAGAGAGCTATGTGACACAGTAATAAGCACAAAATAATCCCTCACCTACAGTATTTCTCATTAACCCGTCAACAGTCACCACACAATGATATCTGAGATGCAGCAGTTCCCCCCTGTACTAAGAAGAGGAAATAACTGTGATTATTGTGTCAGTATTGTTGGCAAATGTTGACTTTCTAATGGTAATGACCTCACATGCATCCCAGACCTGTTGGCACTGAGGCTGAAGTCTGCAAAGGTTTGTAAGCATCTAACTCCCACTGATTTCAATGGTGAGTTAGGCACCAGGGTACCTTTGAGGATCAGGGTCTGATAGCACAGTGATGAATCCAGATCTATCAATAGCTAGATCAAGGTCTGCCCAGGTACACGAACACACTGTAAACGAGAGCTGAAGAAAACAGTGTATCACGGTCTCTTGGAATACTCACGCCAACCTGTAAATCCGTTCCCTAGGCCCAGTCCTATGCGTCCAGGCGCAACACAGCTTGGATTGTGAATATCTGCTGTCAGTGTATTAAGGAAAGCAATTGCAAAGATGCCAGATACATTCAAACAGGGTCAGATTCTGATCCCTGTATCCTGAGTAGTACCCTCCCCCACAAGTAGTGGCCCTGGGATCAATCAAAGACCATTTGTGGTCTTTTAGCAAGCAGAAAAGGGAACTAAAATCTCGGAATACACTATTCCCTATGGTTATTCCTTCACTGTACCGCACATACCACCCCCCGTCATAGATGGAGTCAACCCTCCCCACACAAAACACACATCAGAATATGAACCACCCCTATCTGTGCTTACTTGCCCCATCTGTGTGTGCGTGACAGCAGACCTCTTCCCACCTCTTGATGATGTGTTGGCTCTTCCTTTTATGCCCTTCCTAGCAGGGGTGCCCATCATATCTTGTTAGAGCTGCGGTTTTTTGTTCTTCACAATTCCCTGTTCCTTGTGGCCCACAGTGGACATCTGGGGAGAAATCACCTTTTCAGGGGTCATTCAGAGGCACATACAATGTCTATTTCATGCGTGGTGTGACTCCATTGATTTCACTGGATTTACACTATCCATGAATTTGGAGCACACTCCTCGAAGATTTATACAACTACAAACAATGATGCCAAGGGCTACTTTTCTCTCTCCAGGCTGTGATAGCTGTGAGATATCTTAGCTACAGGTCATTATTTCTGACGGAAGTAATGGCTTCTGTTATGCCAGCTAATTAAAAGTGATCCAGTAGCCACTGAAATAATATGCCCATGTGGCCCCTGGACACATCATAAATACTGTGCTGCTTTTCACAGGGATGTGCTTCGTTGGATTTGAGAC